CTTGGGATGGATTTGTATATATTGAGCTAAAATTACACCTATTCTAGAAAACTCGAAGTTGGTGTGTGCGTTGGTATAGCTCAGCCGTGATAAACGGCTTCATAGCTTCCTTGAGAATCCACTTTTCGCTAAAAGAGCGAGTAGCAGGGTCATAATGCAGTTTCACGGACGGCGGCAGCGCCATGGCGTACTCTGTAAGGCGGTGGTCGAGAAAGGGCTGGCGTCCTTCTACGCTGTGCGCCATTTCACAGCGATCGCCGAGGACGGTAAGGAGGCCGTTTGCAAGACTGGATTTACTCCAGATGTAGAGGGATGTGTGGAGGGGATGCCATTTTTTTGCCATGAGCGCGCGGGTGCAGCCGTCGAGGGAGTTTACGACTGTGAGACGCTTGTCGCTTGTGCCGAACTCATGGGGTACCCAAGGTGCGAAGAGAGCATCGCGGAGGGAGGCAGTTTGGGTGAAACCGAGGAATGAGGTGTTGTTTACCTGGGCGCGCACGGCGGCGGAGGTAGAAAGGTCTTTGGGTCCAGAGGTTTCTGAGCCTTCGAGTTCGTTGAAAGTGGCTATGCGGTCGGCTTCTGATAAAGTGGTATTTGGCCATGAGGCATCGGGTTCGCGAACAAAGTCGGTAAGCAGCTCGCGGTAGCCAGCGAAATGCTCATCTGAGCCTTCACCAGTCAAGACGACTTTGATACCCGCATCACTAGTGGTTTTGGAGAGCAGGAACTTTCCCACTGTACCTAGATCTGTCACAGCAGCCTCATTATGCCAGACTGCGGTTTCGATGTTGGCAGCGAAGTTCTCCTCTGTCATCTCACAGTGATGCATTTTGACTCCTAGCCACTCTGCAGTTCGGCGTGCAATGGGTTCTTCATCGTGTTCTTCGCCTATGAACTTGACACTGAAGCAATTCATTCGTTCGGATGCGGGTGCAGTGCCCAGTCGCGCGCCTTCAGTATCCATCAGGTGTTTGATCATTCCTGCTATCGCGCTGGAGTCGATGCCGCCACTCAGAAAGACGCCGATTGGTACATCAGCGCGAAGACGATCGCGAACGGCTTCTAAGAGTCGTTCACGAACACCCTCTATCATTTCCTGTTCACTTCGTGTTTCCACTTGTCTCTGTAGGCTGTTAGTGCCGCTGCTTACTCGGGCGATACTGATGTTACCTTGTCTTTGAATTGAATATCCCAGTACTTGTACTGTGATATTGTGTTGAAAGACCTGCACACCAGATAGTGACCAGGTAGTATTTTCGATACGCCCTGGAATATTGTTCGTCCATCGCAGAGCCAACCGACGTCCTTGATACTCTGTACATCCCACTCTGGTTTCCATCCAAACGGCAAGAAAGCCTTCATCTCAGAAGCAACCTAGAAAACCAGTGTGAGTATCAATGTGCCCCGTCGAATCTGAGATGTTCCTACCAGAATTTTCCCATCAAGAATAGTATAGTACATCGGCTTAATCGCATACCGATCACAAGCAGCGATGACAACCTTCGCAAGCGAATCATACAAGCACAACGAAAATTCTCCCCTTAAGTACTCCAAAAACGACATCCCATGCTTCTTATACAATGCCAGCGCAATCTCTGAATCCGATCGACTCTTAAACTTATACCCCTCGCGACTCAACTCCTCCCTTATCTCTTCATACCCATAGAGCTCCCCATTGACAACCGCATGCACCGTCCCATCCGCGTCATGAAACGGCTGTTCCCCCTCAGGGTTCAAATCGACAATCGCAAGCCGATTATGTCCAAGTGCTGTGTATCACCGAAAAGAAAGATAAACGTTAGTCACATGGTCCGTTTAATAACCAACCTCCAGCAGACAGGACATCGCTCGATCCTCAACGACCCCAAAAAAAGACATACCCACGCGACAATCCTCGCTAATCCAATGCCCATTCGCATCCGGCCCGCGATGCTTAATGGTATCCAAACTCTTTTCCAGCGTGGTGCTCAACGCTGCTGAGTCTCCAGCCAGCAGCGGCCCGTGACCGCGCAACGCAACCGCACAAGTGATACCGCACATTGGAGTGTGTCGCTGGCAACTCCGGGTGTTCCGAAAGAAGAAGATGATGTGTAACAGCGGTACATATCTCTGGATTTGAAAGAAACTCTGGGGTTAGCGTTGGCTCCGGGAGGGGGGAGGAGAGGGACAGCACAGCAATAGTAATGACGTGTGCGATCGATCGGAGGGCCCGCCGGGCTCACCGAGAAGCGCTCAGTTTCCTGATAAAGATGCATTTGGCTTGTTGCTGTTTTGAGGCTTAGTGCTAGGCGGCTGAAGCGGGAGCCGCGAGGTTTCAGGGATCGGGGTACTATGGTGTACCATACATTTTGGATTGCCTTATCTGGCGCATTTTGCGGGGTAGGATTCGATTGGTGAGGCTTGGATTTAGTGACGGCACCCCAATGCATACACTTAGGGCTGGGGGCATGCTTTGTGGTGCTTGCCGATTGGCCTAGCGTACGATCTTTATTGCTTGGGATTCGATCCGATCCAGGCTTGTTTTAACTTCGTTGTTTTCGTCTATCTAAGACATCAAGACTCCACACATCGACAATTTTCTTATGCTAGGCCTTCGGTGCTTTTCTGACGGGATATCAGACATCTCAACCAAGCCTCCATTTACATACATAGATTTCCACTCTTCCAAGTCTCCTCCGCCTTTCTCCTCATCCAAGTAGCAAACAACTCCTCCGATTCGCCGTCATATATTGTCTCGCGACAGAAGACAAATACAGAAATACCAAGTCTTTCCATGAACACCGGAGGCCATTCTGGCGTCATGTCTAAACAGCAAGCAAACCATTCCCAATACCTACTTCTACCTGCAAATGCTATGCCTTTAAAATCACCAAAATAAGCCACAACTCCACTATCACAACAAGCATTTCCACTCCAAAACAACTCACTCATTCAAAACACGGATCCATCGTAGAAATGTCAACGATGAAACCCCTCTCCCTCACCAAGGCAGCCATTGCCATCCTGGGCCTGACTGCCGGCCAGGTATCTGCCGGCCTGGTAGGATACGCTGTGTGCTAGGCAGGCTGCGCTGGAGTGGTGATGGCATGCTACTCTGCAGCTGGCTTCACGTGGGGTGCTACGTTTAGTGCATCAGCTCCAGCCAGCATCCTGTTGTGCAATGCTGCTTTTGGGAAGTGCCAGGCTGCGTGTGCGGTTGTGTTGTTGGGACCCACGCCTTAGGCAGAAAGGGATGGCGGCGTCAAGCAGGTAATGATATCTGCATAGACCGCATCCGGTATCGAAGGACTTATTCGAAATTGAGTAGAGTATCAGTTGGGGATGGTGTGGGTCTAACTAGACGCATGAGTCAAGGTTCACGGGAAGAAAAGGTATGAAGAATGAGTGGAAAGTATCATTGATGTAGATACTATGATTAGCAACCCGCGCATAGCGGAGTGTGCCTCTCTTTCTTTTCTACAATGGTATATGGTACGACCACTTGTCCACACCACCTTTGCCATCTATGTGTACTCTAAGCTAAACTCTGAGGTGCCACATTGACAAGGATCATGTGCCTCTACATCCATTGCCAGATAGCAAATCGCCCAAAGCAATATCTCCCAGGTTAAGGTGCAGTGCTCTACTGGGCAGCAGCCTGTGCACCACCCCTAGGGCCACCTCGTCCACGAAATCCTCCACGCCCACGGCCCCGGCCCCTTCCACCCCGTCCACCATCCAGATTGGCTGGTGGAGGAACGTTGGAGTAATTTCGCGGTTGGAAGTTGGGGTTATTGGGAACAACGCCTTCAGTAGGGTCGGTGTTGTCTATAACGGTAAAACCACCACGATTGGCCTTGGAACCTCCTCGTCCACGAGGCACGAAATCCGCAGAACCACCTCGGAGATTACCGCGAGCATTGCCTCTGTTTGGAGCATGATTCTGGTCTTGAGCGTGGTGACCGTTTGTCTGTGCGCCACGAGGCGCGTAACCACCACGGCCACCACGAGGTGGTCCGCCATGGATTGGTAGAGTCTGCTGCTGACCCTGGGCTTGATGAGGAGCTGGGCTTTGTCGTGGAGCCATACCACCACCGCGCCCATTGACGTTACCGAAAGCTCCTCGGTATGAGCCACGGAGAGGAGGCGGTGTATTCGCTGGTACCAGTTGAGGGCCTCCAGGAGCACCAATACGTGGCATGGTGTATGATTGTGGCGCTTGTTGCGGGCGTCGGGCAGCAGCAGCACTTGAGTAGTGAACAACCTGCTGATCGGTCATATTGACGACCGCGGTTGCTGGAACGGTAGATCCTCTAAACGGAGAGCAGCGGTCGCCAAGTGATGTTCCACTCATGAATGTTGCGTCGAAAACAACGTCTAGCAAGAGCACGCGAGCTGTGCGTGTCTTACCGACAACGGTGCCAGATGACCCAATCGGCACTCTTCCAGAATCCTGGACGTAGACAATGCGATCACCGATGCTGAAAGTCTGGTGTCCCAATCGTTGCTCTGCATCCGATGGCTTCAGCAAAGCAACACGAGGCACCTTTGTAACCTTCTTAGGCTCGACGTCTTGGGTGAGTGGGAAGTTGGCATCCGCGGCCTGCTCGATCAGCTTGACGGTGTCGGAGTCGAGCTGCTCAGCGTCCAAAGGAACCTTTTCAAAACTCTTAGTTTGAACTTCTTTCAACCAAGCTCCAATCTCTTTGACTTTTTGCTTCGCGATCTCAGGTGGGTAAAAATCGGTGTCTTCCCAGCCGTCGCCTGTCGGGTTGTTGATGATGGCGGCAACAAACTCGGGAAACTTGATCATATAACTAGCAAGCAAAGCCATGGCTTTCTGACTGTATTCCCATCCATTGGCCGACTTTCTTGAATAGCCCAAGACCTTGAGTTTCTTCGCTTCAAATTTCAAGTTCAGGCCAAGATTTAGCTTAAGACCACTTGAGTTGACGTTGAAAGAGGACGTCAGCTTAGATAGTGCAAGCGGCGGCATGTTGAGCTGCTTAGCCACAATGTACGATGGCAGGTAGGGAGTAGCCTTTTCAGCCATGCTCACAACCTCACGCCCGAACTGTGGCTCTGGTTTCTTGAGTTTGGCAACCATGATCGTAGCCTTGTTGTCGGCATGGCTAATAACTTGCAAGGGGCGACCATAGGCGTAGTCTCCAAGATAGAAAGCTCTAGCACCTACAGGAAACTCTTCCTCAATGGGCAAAGCCTCCTTCTCCAAGAATCGAGCGTCTGGGCTAGCGACCTCATCAACAATGGTCTGAGTCGCATATTCGATCTGCAACCCAGCAACCTCACCATACTCCTTGATAGTCGCACCCTCGTCAGTCTTGCGTAGTCCCTTGAGCATTTCCACGTGCACGAGAGACTCAACCTCTCCAATGTTAATACCGAGACGCTTGCTGTATTGGGTTTCGATGCGGTTCGCGGTCTTCTTCCAGTTGGAGATTTCCTGAGGTCCATGTGGAATAGCAACAGGGGCAGATGGGCCACTCTCGGGAAGTACATAGTCGAAGAGCTCATCAGACACCTTGACTACCTTTGCCTCGTGTAGGAATGGATAGCCGACGTGAACAGCCTTCCCTAGCTTTTCTTGTGCATGCGAAACTGATTGTCGAGGCGCAGTATCCAACAGTGTAATGACCATGCTCTCGTTTCTGCTGTCTTGTTGGAAAACGTTGACGCCAGCAAACTCGAGCTTGCCGTGGAATGGGAGGACCTTCAAGCTAGGGAAACCTGCCAAAGCCTCGGCTCCAGTTTTGACACCATCCATAAGTCCAATATAGTATTCCAATCCTTCCATAGTGGGCAGATCGAAAATATTCTCAATACACTTGCAATGCGGAAGATCTGGGAAGATGCCCGGTAGAGACGATGGGTAGACATAGTCCAAATCCTTCGCGTAGCTGAACTTGAGTGATACACCGAATGTGTTGCGGGCCTTCTCATCTGGAGTCAGTTGATCATCCTTGGTAGCCATGGCCTTGAGCAAGCGGTCTTCCTGGATGAACGGGATCTTGACAACAGCCTCCCAATCCTGCTTTTTACCATTCATATCCAGAGTGAAGTCCCGAGGATAGAAATCGATGATAGGAGAATCCTCGTTCGTCATGAGGGGATGGTAGGCTTTTGGTACAATGCTCTTACTACGATCGGGCAAAACACCCATCAGCTGCTGGTAAGGCTTGAATGGCTGACCGAGCTTGAAGTTGATATCTGCCTTGAGACCTCGCTTAACATCAGAGATCATGGGCGAGTAGTGGTAACCATAGTACCATGGCCATGATGCTACACCGCGGTAGTAGTAATAGAGAACCCACTGCAGGCCTTGGACGTAGTTCTCCGTCAGCTTTCGAAGCTCTTCCTCGTTACTACGGTCCCAGTCGAACTTGCTCTTGTAGTAGCTGTTCTTCCAAGCTTCGAACTTTTCGTCGTACTTCTTTTGCATCTCGGATTGAGCAGCCTCAGGCGAAATATCGACAACCTTGGCCTGTTCATATTTCTGCACAACACGTGCAATAGCTTTGTTAGATTCGTCTTCCATTTCCTCGTCCTCGTCTGAATCGCCCTCGACCAGCTTCGGCGGGGCAGTGATTTGGAGATGACGATCGCCATCATCGTTCTGAACAGTCTTCCAAGGAAGATGGAGCTTATCCGCAAGCTCCTGGACGAATTTTCGGTCATCCGCTGACAAGGAGACAGGAAGGTCAAGAGGAGCCTGCTCCTTCTTTCCCAAGTAGTTATCCAACCAGGCCTTGGCCTGTGAGAACAACTGCTGTTGCTGAGTAGTCATGACAATCGTGCCTCGTTTCGCGGTCTTCTTCATAACGTCTTCTTTCTCAAGGCTCTTACCCTTGAACCAGGCTGCGTCAGAGTTTTCAGATTCGAAATGACGGTATTCTATGTTTGAGAGTTCGTCCAACAATATAGCCAAGCGCTCCATGTTGATGACACCTCCCTCATTGATATACCCTTTACCCTTGGGCAAAACCGTCTTGTAAACGTTAAACATGAGAGCCAAAGCGCCCTCGTTGATATGCAAATGCGGAAGATTTGGAAGGAAATCGTTACCAACAAAGAAAGCCATTAGGATAAAGTCGTCAATAACACGCTCCATATCGAAGGGAAAGCTAAGAGCACCTGGCTCTTCCAGCTCCTGAAACTCGAGTTCCAAATACTCGCGAACTATGCAAAGATGCATGAGGTAGAAGTTTTGGTGCTCCAACTCTTTGGACTTGGTCTGGCTCTGGCGGCCGAAAGTCACCTCTTCTCGCAGTAAACTGAAGTGGGGGTCATGGCTAAGCAGACCCAACATGATCAAATCCGCATCAAGACCATACAAGCAGTGGCGCCGGTTCGGGTCGTACCCCGGCTGCGCCTTTGCCTGACGGATGTACTCCATGATCTTGTGCTCGCCCTCTCCGGGGACCTCGTGACCTGACAGAACGACTTCCACGCCCTGCCAGTCAATGTCCTCAGAGACCTTCTTGTTGATGAAGTACTTGAGCTGCTGCGTGAGCTTCGCCATGAACGCCGTGCCTGGCGTGATGCAGTTGCTGTCGAATGCTTCCTCGGTCGGCATCTCAACGCCTTCGCGGATAGCCTTCTCCCGAGCCTTTTCAGCATCGAGAGCCGTTCGGAAGCGTCGCGCACGCTGCTGGTTCATCTTGGCGCGCGGGGCGACACCATCGATGGCCATGAAGAAGAGCTGCTTGGGCTTGATTTTGCCAAACAAGTGCTCGATGTAGTTGAAGATGCTGATAAACATCTGCTCTTCCGTTTTGCGGGCGGTAACGCTGTCGGAATCGCTGTGGGTACAGTTGTGGATAATACCGTTCATATCAAGCTGTGGCTGTCAGCCTCGGGCGTCAATGACGGCATTGAGTCACTTACATAGAGACAATCGAACTCAGGAATGCGGTTCTCCGCAATGAGCTGCGAGATGCCCGGATACCTTTCGGACATCCATCGAAAGAACTTGGGAACACCCATGGCTGCTGCTGCTACTACTGTCTAGTAATTGCTGAGAATAGATGGCAAGGCGGCTATGCGACCGTTGTTTTTGCAGTCGGGCGGGGTGAATTGGATCGCAAAGCAGACAAAAAGAAGAAAAGCAATAGCGAAGAGAGGCGCGCAAAGGCGCTGAGGGGAGAGAGAGCAGAGAGGATGGGGTGGCGGTTCTCGACGCTGGGGTCTTCAAAGAGGGCAAGTCTAGATGACAGAGGCAATGG